AATGGACCTGATCAAGGTGGCAGGAGTGATGGAGTGGCCGATGCTGGTCAAGAAAAAAGAGCTGCAGTCCTTCCTTGGATTCACAAACTTCTATCGAAGATTCATTTGGGACTATAGCAGGATTGTTCACCCCATGACCCAACTTACTGGCAATGCCCCCTGGGGATAGAGAAAACCCCAACAGCTCACCTTTGATGACCTAAAAAGACGGTTGGCCAAGGATGTCATCCTAGCCATACCATCTCAAGAAGGGAGATTCTGCATCGAGGCAGATTCAAGTGATAGGGCCATAGGCACCGTACTGTCACAAGAACAAGATGGGAAGTGGTGCCCAGTTGCCTTCCTCTCCAAGGCGTTAACCGTGACAGAGAGGAACTATGAAATCTATGACAAAGAATTTTTGGCAATAATGATCGCCTTGGAAGAGTGGTGGCATTATTTAATTGGCGTCCCTGGAACCTTCGAGATCTAGATGGATTATCAGAATCTCAGATACTTCTGACAACCACAGAAGCTGAATCGTCGGCAGGTCTGATGGGTCACCAAACTCACCCAGTACCAGTACACTCTCCACCACAAGGCTGGAGTAGCAAACAAAAAGGCCGATCTCCTGTCTCATCAAGCCAACCATAACCAAGGGGGAGACGATAATACGGGAGTCATAATGCTCCGCCCCAAACATTTTTGAGCATTGATCATGCCAACGGAAGAAGAGATCCATGAACAGATTAAGAGCATGACCCGAGATCTCCACAAGTGGGATCAGAGGATTGCCCCCTCGCTGAATCACGAACAAGGAATGACAAAGAAGGAAGGAATGATCCAGTATGATGGCAGAATTTACATTCCACACGACCACAACCTACATGGGAAAATTATCACCACGTGCCATGACCATACCATTGCAGGACATCCAGGTATTGCCAAAACAAAAGAACTCATACTACAAAACTATTGGTGGCCAAAACTCAGCAATGACATTATCTCCTATGTTCAAGCCTGTGAAACATGTCAGAGAGGAAAAACCTCCATGCAGTCGTGAGCAGCTCCTCTACACCCAAATGAAATACCAACATGCTCCTGGACTCACATTTCGGTGATATGCAGGCTACATGTCCAGCCCTATAATTTGCAAATTCTGCATAACACACTAGAATATGCTAGTAACTGAGAATCATTAGCCAGTAGAGGACTATGGCTGAGGCTC